GGGGAGTAGAGGGAGGTGGAGTGTACAGTCGGTAAAGACGGCTCTCCCTTGCCCTGCCTCCAACATGCCTCCATCTAAAAAGGCTAGGTTATCCAGAGTTATCTCTGTAGTTATGCTGCTATAGGCTTAGACTGCTGGAGGATACACTGACCACTTTTCACTCTACTACTTTCTTCTACAATCTGCTCTTTAACTGTATTATTTTCTGCAATTTCAGCTGTTAACTTTATTTTTTCTCTAAGTGTTTTTCTCCCCAGAAGAAGCTACAATGATGCTCTGCTGAGCTGTGGTGGTTAATGGAGGGAGCCATCGTCTAGCACACTGCTGCTAACCACTTAAAACATTCTCCCTCTCCTGATAATAAAAGTTTGCTTTCCTTGACGTTGGATGTGCTACTGCTAGTTTACCCGTTTAATTTTAGATTCACTAGGATAAATACAATAAAGTTTACCTCTCGTTTATCTGTGTGTGTGTGTGTGTGTGTGTGCGTGCGTGCGTGCGTGCGTGCGTGCTCTGTCTTCTTGATCCCCAGTGAGTCGTGGAGGATGGCTGCTTATACTGAGCCAGGATCCTCTGGAGGGTTCTTCCTGTTAAAAGGGAGTTTTCCTCTCCACTGTCGCTATATGCTTGCTTAGTATGAGGATTGCTGTAAAGCCACTGACACTAGTCAGTGACTTGATGCAATTTGCTGGGTTCCTTATATAGGAAACATTTTTTCTGATTGGCTTAATGAACTGACCTGAATTGGAATGTTTATTATGTGAAGTGCCTTAAGATGACTCTTGTCGTGATTTGGCGCTATATAAATAAAATTGAATTGAAAATATATCCGTACTGTTTACCAAATTTTTCTTCTTCTTAATTTCAAATCTCTTATATATGTAGGGAAGACGTGCCTAAAAGGGTTTAGCTTGTATGTATTTGAAACAACAACCGCAGCAGCTTGTCTGTCAGAATCTTCTTTGGGTTTTAGAATGAACCTGTAATTCCTGGGAAACTTGTTTTTGACCAACACTTGAACTCACTTCTATGTAACCTTCCTTCTAACATGATTGAGACGTTGCTGTGATAATTTCACTGTAAAATTCTTACTCACTGCACCTTTAAGGTTAGTGTTACTGAATGCCTGTTTTTAAATAATATGTAAACAATGGAGGAGAGAATGACGATCCGATGACTTATCTTCGCCTTGTCCCGCCACGCTGTGACCAGAGGGGCGGGGTCACAGAGCTTATAATAGCCTGTCACTCAGTGGCAGCAGGTCCTCCAAGTGTCCTGTCACTTTAGAGGGACGCTGCTTTAACTTTGGCTCAAACCCTTAAGTTGGTTTCTCACTGAGCTACAACTGTAGTGCATACAGCATTTGAGAGTCTGTAAAATGTCTCAAAATGTTTGCAACATTTTTCCATGTATTTGACAATTATGTATTTAGGGTTAAGCAGTTGTAAGATCTACCAGGGTATCTAAAGAAATGGGCTGCATTTCCTTGTCTGTAAAAAACCTGTGTGTGCTGAAGTTGTCAGTTTTAATGGTTGAGTGTGAAATCTGAGTGAACCAGTGTTCATTTTGACAATAAATGTTAATTTAGATTTAGTCTTAGTCCTCTGACTGAATGCTATATTGTTTTTGTCTGCGAAAATTCCTTCGTCACATGAAGAAAATTAAAATAAAAGACAAAATTATTTGGTCAACAAAATTAACACTAGAGTGTACTTTCTTTGTTTTTCCGCTGCATGGATTTTTTTAGTGACATCTCCTGCTGGGGTGGAGATCAGCAACTAAAATTAGTGCATTTTAAGGTAAAGATAGTCTGAGATGTTGACATTACAACTTATTTTGTAAAGGTCTCTTAAAATGTCTTAAAAATGTCAGAAGGAATTCTATTAAATTAAGGTGGTAAGTTGAGATCTTTCGAAGTGTTTTTTGTTGAAAGGATAAAGGCAATTGTTATCTCACTGGTTGTAGATAGCTCTGTCAGTAGTATCAGAAATAAACAATGTAATTCAGACAAGGCAGACTGGCTGATAATTGATCGCAGTAGATGACAGTTCCACAGTGAATTACTGGCATTTAAATGTAAAAAAACCCTCTAAAATCAAAAATGTCAAAGCAGTTTATGCTAGCAGTGTTTTCTAGAACCCCTCCATGGATCTGGGGTCCCGCAGAAGCTGGTAGCTGTGAAAAAAACAGCAGGTCCTGAATTAGCAAAAAGATGGCGAGTGCACCAAAGGTAGCTAACAAAATTAAAGATGGAGAATATGAAACTAAATAAAAGAAAATTAGATCTATGGAAAAAACAAAGGTGTTCCATGGTCAGTCAGACTAATTGAACGGGTGTGCATGAAGATAAGAGGGAGACGGCTCATTAATACAGCTCTACCTGCACAATGGCTGTTCAGCCTCTCCCCCAGGCTGACCCTGAAGCCTGCCTGAAATCATTGGAATTATTATTATGGGACATGATTGGTTGGTTGACATTAGGTAATTAACTCATTCACTGCCAGCCATTTCCTGATCGGCGTTTCTCACCATTTTTACAGTAAGAGTCACAGAACGTTGCGCGTTAGCATGATGTCGACGCCAAAAGAACCAAAACAAAGCGGAGACTCACCTCTTACATCAGGAAGAATCCGCGTGTTTCGAGCGTCATACGTTCTTTCATAATCCGTTGTTGAATTGTGATCGGCAGATGCTTTTCCAGTCCACGCCTCACTTTTTTTTACTGGACCGGCCCAAAAAGATCTCCTAACACATGGATGTTCTGCTTCCTGATCACGTGATGTGTGACGTACGCGGATGAAGATCGGCTTCAGAGCTGAGATGTTTGTTCTCTCAGCACGGGGGCTCGTTCCGATGCCCAAACAGTAAAAAAATGCAAATGACGACTATTGGCAGTGAACGGTTGGATCTAAAATGACGACTTTAGTCGTCAATGGCAGTGAATGAGTTAAAAACAAAGAGGAAGTCGAAACTCAAAGATAGTTAGCTGGATTAGTACAGGGGTGGAGACGACCAAACACTGGAAGAATGAGCAGATCTCAGCTGACTGGACTGGTAGAGGAAACACAACACTTGCTTCCTGCCTGTGCCACAAGCACAGCTTCTTTAAAGTAAAGTTTGGGTTTCCTACAGGCAGGAAAAGGGAGCCATGGCTGTGCTTCTTAAAAAATAACCTTTAGATGACAAACAACCCTTTAAAATAAACATAAATGTTTGAAACAATCTGTTCAAGAGATCAGCTCGTTTATTTAACTGCAGTAATAGGACCTAATCACACGCTTCGTTTTTCGTGAAGTAGTGATGCACCGATATGACATTTTTGGGCCGATACCGATACTAAGATCAATGTTATGGCCGATAACCGATATTTGCCGATACCGATATAATAATAATAATAATGCATTGAACTTATATAGCGCTTTTCTAGACACCCAAAGACGCTTTCACACACTCACATTCACACACTGCTAGTGATGGTAAGCTACTTGTAGCCACAGCCGCCCTGGGGAGGTCTGACAGAGGCGAGGCTGCCATTTGGCGCCGTCGGCCCCTCTGACCACCACTAACACAGGCAAGTTGGGTGAAGTGTCTTGCCCAGGGACACAACAGCAGGATACCCCTGGCGGGAGCTGGAATCGAACCCATGACCCTCCGATCATGAGGCAACCCGCTCTACCACCTGAGCTACTGCTGCCCCAATATACTGACATTAATGCTTCTAAAATCTGCAGATTTTGTATAGAATGAAAATTATTAAAGCTGAATTTACGTTATTATGTACACACAGACACACACACACACACACACACACACACACACACACACACACATTTACGGTTTTGAGATGATTTCAATCACGGTTCACATGACTAAACAATTACACATCTCCCCCCTCACCCACTGACAAAGGCAATCAAATAGAGACGAGGTGGAAAAAATGTCTGCTGTTAACATCGTCCCGGTTTTATTTATCAAACTGATACAGATGTGTTAAAAAAAATGACTAACATTGGCCGATACCGATGTTGATGCAGATATATTGTCCATCCCTACTGAGAAGTTTTTAAAAGATGAAAAGCTGGTCACCAACTGGCACAGCCCAGTTTGCTACTGGTTTTATAGAAATGATTTTCTTTTATTTAACAATGCATCACTTCCTCTAATACTCTCTTATAAAACTATAATTTTTCCTTTTAGAGGAATCAGTTTTGAAAACAAAAGAACTTAAGTTCTCATGGAGGATAAAAGCTTAGAAAGTTAACTAAAGTTGCTTTGGGGCATTTCCATTAAACTATCCAAGCCTGATTATTCATTTCCAGCTGAAGTTCTGTAGGTACACAGCTGCAGCAACCCAGTCACTGAGCAAAATAAGTGGAACCGCCGCCTTTCATCTCTAACTTCTTTTGTATATACTGACCTAGTAAAGAAACATATGAACTTATCTGTGCTCTGCACCAGTCGGAGCTTAACGAGTGACTGTTATTTGGAGCAAGTGAACTATTTCTTTTGAAATGGGGTAAACTCAGTTTGTTATTCTATTAGGAAAGACAAAGTCATTCCCCTGGGTGCCCCACAGTTACCCCTCAGAGAAAGGGGGGAGAGACAAGTGGCACGACAGAGAGGAAGACAGAAAAAGGAATGAAGAAAGGAGCAACATCCCTGAAGGGCTCTGCGGCTGATCCGAGATCAGTTATGCCTTCCATCTACACACAATTAGGAGGTTGGAGAAACTGGGAAGGGTAAATTGTTCTTAGATCTGTACTTTGGGGGCAATGTTAACAAGGCACCACTGGAGGCATGTTTGGGTCTGTGGGGAGTGTGTGCGTGTGTGTGTGTGTGCATGTGTGTGTGTGTGTGCATGTGAGTATACATGTGTAAGAAGCCCTTCTAATGGGCCCCCCTGAGGAAACACCCCAGAGCTAGCCCATCTTTGTTCCACGCACGCTGTGGTGAGACACAGGCTGTCTCCACCTCTGCTGCATTCCAGGGTGGCTTCATACCTCTTTTTCTGCAAAGTTGACACGCACTCCCTCCTTGGGAACGTTTTTTGCCATAACCGTGACGATGACTTGAGACTCTGTTTGATACCAGTCATGCCTGAAAGAAAGAGATTTAAAAGCCTCAATACCACATAAAACAGATCATTTTATTCAGATTTATCTGTAATATTAATCTGGTTTGCATCCGCGAAAATAAACATTTTCAAAACTGGATATTTACGATGCATCATCAACCTCTTTTAGAGGAGACCCGTTGGGTTTTTGTGGACTTACTTAACAGGTGGAGCGGCTGGCGTCTGCAGGGTCATTGAGCCACAGGGAGGGGATGACAGAGGCAAAATCATGTGAAACAAAACAAATGAAGGAACCATTAAAAAGCAGCTTGATAAGGCTTCGTGTGCAGATCTAATCTGATACTGAGAGCAACAATGCCCCCAAGTGGCCTCACAAAGAAACCCACCATGTCGGCGCTGCTGGTTTGTGTCTGCTCTGTGGGACAGAGAGAGGAACAGAGGAGAAAAATATCAGGTGCGGTAAAGTTAAATCCATTTAACCCGCCTGATAAAACTCAATCATCAGAATAGATTCACTGCAAAGAGCCAAGCCTTCGCCACCAGTTTGTTTACTGGTCCATCCACGCCCACTAAAAGCCCAGTGAGCCCAAGCAAGCCTGAGCGCCGTTTACCAGCGTGCTTTCATCCATTATTCACGGCCTTCATTTGATCGAGCGGGCTCAGAGAGAGATGAAGTGATAGGAGGCGTGTTAATGTTGTCTTAACCCTTTGATGCATAATGGTCACTACAGTGGACAGGTGCTCAAAATAGTTATTTATTTATTTTTGCTATTAAGCACAGCTGTTGAAGACTTTATTGCATGTGAGCCTCTCCAGTTGGACTTCAGTAAGGCAAGCCAACATATTTCATGTTCAGAATGCACGCTGTCCACTGAGATGGACATGTAATAAAGTATTTGTAAATTAACAAAATGTTACAAAGAATATTTGTTGAAATTTGTTTAATTCACACCTAAAGATGAATGAAAAAAAATGTTTAAAAAATCATGGTTGAAGATCTCATAATTCATGCATCAGAGGGTTAATGAGGTCGCGTTTGAAATGGGGGGCTGGGGGTACGAGGAGGAAGTTGTTTGTCTCCGTGTGAAGTCAGACGCATGAGCTGCCACGTGATGGAATAACCAGGTGGCATATGTGTTGCTTGGTGGTAAACACGCTGTCGCCTGAAGTAGACACTGCTCGTGGCATGTGCATGAGCAAGTAGGGGTGTGTGTGTGTGTGCGTGCGTGCGTGCGTGCGTGCGTGCGTGTGTGTGTGTGTGTGTGTGTGTGTGTGTGTGTGTGTAATGAGAGAACAGGCTTTTAGGGGGGTTTGTCTCATTGGGGTTTTCAAACATCAGCAGCGTTAACGCTGATGAATCACACTGCTCTCGGGAGTGTGTGTGCACGCGGGTGCGAAGCGTGTTTGTCAAACCTCATGTTCCTGTTTACTCGCTGATAATCCAGAGGACCGAAGCAGCACCGGCAAACACAAACACATGCCACCAAGACATGGCATGCATCTTTTATTGGACTAAGCAGCTCTGAATATCCACGGATGTGTGTGTGCGTGCTCTTGGTTTTGATCAGACTGGCTGATCTGCTCCCTGACTGTGCCATTTAACTTCAACTTGAATAATTAAAGAAAACATACAACTAAGTTAGTGGAAGTAGTTCTCAACTTTGTTCGACCTAAAACTGCCAAACACATTCTTGTTTACGAACAACTGATGAATCAGAAAGTTTTCCATCTTGTTTTATTCACCCGAACACCAAAGATGTGTGTATCATCGGAGATAAAACCTAACAGATTCAAATCGCATGTGGGCCAACTCGAAGACTAATGCAGAAAGAAAGAAGTGAGCTACTTACTCCCCATCATCTCCTCACACCGCTTGATCCAGACTTCAAATGATTTGTCAGAAACTGCAAAAAGAATAAATATGCTGCTTAGGTGGCTTTCCTGTTTTAGTTAGGGAAGTTAAAATTTATCTACAACACACAACTGGATCAGTAATGTGTCGCTATCAGAGATGTTCCATAGATTACAGTTATGGCTTTAAAGTCTGTAAGAGGTAATCCCCTCTGATCACCACCAGCAGGCAATGAGAGTGAAGTGTATTGCTCAAGGACACAAAAGCAGAATTCCCTGCAGAGAGCTGGGATTGATCCTGCAACCTTTCCATCACTGGACAATAGAGGTGCTGAAAAAAACCGATTCAAGTCCGAATCGGGATTCTTATTTATAAAGGTTCCGATTCGATTCCAAGAACTCAAATATTTGGCATGTTACAGGTCTGAGAAGCACTTTTTTGATGTTTGTTAGGAGAGTCAGTACTCCGTTTACGTTTGTGGTCCCATAAATTGAGATGATTTGTTTGAATCTGCTGATAAGAGGGCACTTGAATGTCATTTTTTCCATACTCAGAAATTTGAGATTTTCTCATATTTATTTTCTAAGTTGATAAATGAGTACTCAGGATTACTCATGTAACTTGTTTCTACACATACTTGAAAAGTATTTGACCGTATTACTTTCAAAGCTACTGTTAGGTAACTACAGATTTGTTATATTTTACAAGGGAAGCAAAAATAAATGTTGCCTTTTGGTCAAAAGATTGTTTCTGTTTACAGTTTTAGAATCATTTTAGTTTACATTGTAAATTTGCATTTTTGGAGCATGACCAGTTTAAAGTCAACTAAAAATGCCCCATAGCTTTAACTAACTTGTACAACAAAGTAGTTCATCCTGGAGCTGACACTCTTTGTTAATACTGATCGTGAATCGATTTAAATTGAGAATCGAGAATCGAATCGGCACCCCAAGAATCGGAATTGAATCAAACTGTGAGTTACTCCAAGATTCACATCCCTACTGGACAACCTCCTGAGCTTCTGCTGCTCTACATGTATTGGGTTTCTGGACTCGGTCACAGTTTAGCCTCAGAACACATCCATGAATAAGAAATGGTACCTACGCACCATCCCTGAGGAACTCCTCCAACCATCCAACAACAGTTTGGTGATGAACAGTAACTTTTCCAACATAATGGAGTACCATGTCTAATGGTGGGAGTCAGAATTTGGTGGCTCAAGGTACAAAACCTGTACATTTTGTAAGATTGGTGCAAATTGTAATGAAACATGACAGTTCAGATTTTTTTAAATGTAACAAATTATAGGTACACATCATGTGCATTGTTGTTGACTGTTTGAGTTGTCCCTGTGGCACTAAAGCAAAAACATATTAAGAAATTGTTCAAACTGACAAAATTGTTAGTGTTCTTGTTTTTTGTGGCGATAAAAAAAAAAAAGAAAAGAATTAAGTGAATTGGTTTTCTTGCATTTGTCAAAAAACTTCAACCAATAACACGGCTCAGTCTGAAAGCAACGATTGGATGATCCGGTTGTCTGTCTCACTGAACCATCGCACTTCCCTGGGTCCTCACACATTACACACTCACATATTTAGCAACAGAACACCGCTGGTGTGAGAGCTTCTCTGCTCATTAACATCAGAGAAGGAGAACCAGCCGGCTGCTACCACTTCTACTTTAGGACAAACTACCAGAGTCGCAAAAAGAAAAGCACCATTTGAAGTCACGGGCAACAAAAGATGTTTGGACTTAGAAAATGGAGACTGGTGTTTAGCGCTATCTTGTTTCCTCTGGCGATTTGGGTTTCCATATCAGGGGGGCAAGGCCTAGGGATGATAGCCAATGGGAGGGGTGGGAGTGCTGTGACCGTGTTTGTGTTTATAGCACGATTACAGAAATGGCTCTAAAGATAATCTTATCGGATAACCCTAAATGATGTGGTGTGTTAAGAGCGCTCTGGCATGCTCTGAACGTCGGGACCGCTCCGATCATAAATCCGGGCTTTTAAATGTGTTGTATTAAATTGGCCTGATTTTCTATGATGTAACCATCGGATGTAACGAGCATGCTGCCTGTTGAATGAGACATGTAACCAATCAGCATGTTCCTCCTCCGACATATCTGTTTACTTCAACTTCACGTTTGATCTCATGAGATTTCTCATCCGACTGGGATAAAATTCACAGATTGTAAAAAGGACAAGAGTGAAAAGATGCTTCAGGACAGCAGGTATCTCTTTATGGTTCTTAAAGGTGTGGGTGACTTATTTCATCAGTACATTTGTAGCCGTCTCTAGTAGGAATAAATGCCTTGTAAGTCATCGTCAGTGGGAAACAACATACTGGTGCACCATTACCAGGACCCGCAGTTACCCACATCACAGCTGTGCTTCAGACAGAAGGTTTTGGAGTCTTCTTTCCTGATATTTGGACATCTGTGCTCAGATAGGATAACAGAAATGCAACTCTACCACTGACTTTCAACATGGATGCTTTATCTCCAAAAATAACACAACCCTGAAAGGGTTTTGAAGTTGCTAATGCTAGTGGTTAGCTTCTGCTGGTCGGGACGTTTTCTGCTGACTCTTGGACATTAAAACAACAAACAGCCTTCCCTGTCGTGAGTCCATGGATGAGTCCATGAATGCTAATACACTGTGTGACATAGATCTGTGAGGCTTTTCAGATCCTAGTGTTTTCCCTGAGAAACTAATGCAGCAGATAGGCGTAGGAGATTATTTTTATGTTAGGCCTGCATAAAAAACTCAGAGTGACTAATTATAATCAGAAATAATCATTCAAAATGTTTTTCTTCAGTGAACCACACCATAGTACAATAGTGCAGTATTACTTCAACTTCATCCTGAAATACAGTGTGTTTAAGGAACCCAGCCATGCCATTAAGGAAACTGCTACAATTGAGCCAATGTAACTTCAAATGATAAACGACCCGCACTTGTATAGCGCCTCTCAGAGTAAGGACTCCAAAGCGCTTTACACTACAGTGCATCATTCATCCATTCACACACATACACACACTGGTGATGATGAGCTATGATGCAGCCACAGCTGCCCTGGGGCGCACTGACATAGGTGAGGCTGCCGAGGACAGGCGCCACCGGTCCCTCCGACCACCACCAGCAGGCTTAAGGGTTAAGTGTCTTGCCCAAGGAAACAACAGCAGAATTCTCTGTCCGGAGCCAGGATTGAACCTGCAACCTTCCGATTACTAAGGCCCCAACATGAAATCCCACTCACAGTACACAAGATCAGTCTGATTGGAACAGGAGCAGGAATATAAAACTACGGCCAAAGTCAGCTTCACTCACCATCCAGTTGGTGTCCCTGTGTAAAGGCTGCGTGTGCCGACTCATAGTTTTCCAGGTGGTACTCTGCTATTCTGTGGACAAGAAATAACATGGTTGAATAAGACAATCACAGAAAATTAAAGGTTGGGAGAATTGGGATCAGAGGCCTATTTATAGAATGTTTATAAGGTTTAGTTGTGAAGGTTTAGTAGCAAACACACAATACACCTTTTTAGCACATACCCTGTTCGCATGAACGCTAATGGTAGGCCAGGATTTAGCTGATGGGCTTTCTTGGAATCGTCAGCAGCACCTGAGGATGAGATTCAAGACAATCTGTTAGGCAAATGTACAAAACTACTGATGAAACTTCTGTTCTCTAGAGAACAGATCATGGATCCGCACGATTAAATCCTGGCATGTGTTCAGCAGCTCACATGTCTGATTTGGATAGTACAGTGAGAACTTACGGCTGTAGTTCTTTAAGAGTATGTGGGCATAGGCTCGCTGACAGAGCCACTCTGCTTTGTCAGACTCTTCCTTCAGAGCCTCATTAAGTTCCTGTAAGGAAGAATTAGAACTCAGCTGGCTTCTTTTGCATTTGACTTTCATTTTAGCAATTTTATTTTCATGCAGATTCCACTCTTTGTGCTGAATGTTGCAGTTTAGGGTGACTCGGTCACAGCAGGATGTACATGTGCACATGAGTATGTGACAAATGAAGCTTTTGAGAAACTGTTCTAGCACTCATGCCAACACCACAGTTCCTCAGATGAATCGCTTTATAAAATCAGGTCTGTAGACATAGTTAAAGCCACATACTAATGTAGTTTAATTCACTTTCCACTACTGCAGAATAACTAATGTGTTACGAAACAAAAACAAAACTAGCATTTGGTTAGGTTTCGGTTTCCTTCAAGATAGAATTACGTTAGGTTTCAATAAACCTTATATTCAGAATGAAGAAAAATTCATGACTGTTGCGATGAAACATGAATGTGTTTAATTAAACCGTAACAGTGTTATTAAGTTTCAAAGTGATGCTAACAGTAAGATGAGCTCACTTACATTAATGCTAACCCGAAACACATCAAAGCATTCAGAAGCCAATATAGTAACACTGTTGTCGAATAACTGTGGAAAAGGCAACAACGAACCAGTTTACACGATAAGTTTACCTCCAGAGCTTTCTGTGGATCTTCGTCAATGAAGCTGTCAGAAAAGATGCTAAACCGAAAGAGAGACCAAGCGTTAGCGAGCTAAATGGCTAATAGTTAACGTAAAATAAACACAGAAAACGCGTTTTGGATTAAATGTAACTTGCCGTTCGGCTGCCATTAGTTTGCCGCAGATGTGAAGAGCTTTCTGAATTGTCAAGAAAGTTCTAGAAGATGAGTGCTGGAAACGCGATAGCGGTGCATGTGAGGGCTGGAACGCCACAGAAGCTTCGTCAACATCCGGTTACACTCGGCTCGCGACTGCTCTTCCTCCTAGCGGCGTGGATGACTCATTACAACCTGGTGCCGCACAACTCTCCACAGAGCATTCTAAAAATCACTTTTTGTTTTTTAGTTACAATTTAAAATGACAACATGGCTGTTTTTATTTATTTGTGTAACTATTTATTGACAGGGACAATTTCCCATTAATTTACATGGAGAACAAGACTTGAGCAGAAACCACCCAATATGGGTCACTTTGGGTTGTTGGTTTGAGTTCTGGGTATGCTGATGCAATTAAATCAATCAGCAGATAATTTGGTAGCTAATCTTGGTACTTTTTTCTTGTAGTATTTCAGATACACTGCGGTATGTCTTACTATTACCAAGTGGTACCTTCATTTTTCTTCATAATTGGTCATGTCATTGGTTCAAAAAGGTGTTGGAAACATTCTTCAGAGGTTCTGGTCCATACTAACAAGACAGCATCAGCTCCATACATGATGTTTCACCGCACCCAAAGGTTCTGGACTGGACTGAGATCTGGTGACTGTCATTGGAGTCCAGTGAACTCATGGTCCTGTTCTAGAAACCAGTTAGAGATCATTTGTGACATGGTGCATTATCCTGCTGGAAGTAGTATCAGAAGATGGGTCCATGTGGTCATAAAGGGATGAGATGGACATGGTCAGTAACAATATTCAGATAGGCTGTGGGGTTTAAACCAGGCTCAGGTGGTACAGAGGGGTCCACAGGAGGACAAGAGCACCCGCCACCACCAACACTATTACACCACCAGCAGCAGCAGCCTGAAGCCTTAGGCAGGGTGGATCCATGCTTTCTTGTAGGGAGACACCAGATTCTGATCTGACCATCTGATGAAAGCTTTTTCCAGTTTCATCTGGTGATCCTGTGGGAACTGTAGCCTCAGTTCCCTGTTAACTGACAGAAGAAACACCTGTGGCGGTCTTCTGCTACTGGAGTCAATGGAGTGGATCTGAGATGTTGTTCTGCAAACTGTGGTGGGAATCAGTGTTTTTTGAGCCACTTTGCTTTCATCCAACACCAGTCTGACCATTCTCATGCAAACCCTAATGCTGGTTGACTGTGACAGTTCTAATGAATCACCAGTTTCTGAAACACTCAGCCTGTTTGGTGCAAACACCATGTCACCGATATCCTGATGCTCACTTTGAACCACCTTCACCACGTCTCCATGACTACACGCATTGAGTTGAAGCCATGTGATTGGCGGATACATAAGCACAAGACCAGGTGAACCTAATGCAGTCTAGTAAATTCCATTTTCGTTATACTTCACATAAGATCTGACATTCACCACAACAAAGTACAGTAGCAGCAGTTTACTGCTGATGTTAAAGGGACATTATGGAAGTTTGACAGTCAAAACATGTATAGAAATAATAAATTTCTTCTTCATACATTCTCCTGCAATGCCCTGGTCCTGTAGAATGAGCCCTGGCATTTTTACTGTGATTGCCTGTTTTTCTGTAAAATCACAGAAAAAGAGAGCTGCTCGGGTCGAGCAGGCTGCTTCATGCGCGTTCACGCTCAGGCATAGCCCGTAGCATTTGCTATCAGTAGCTTTAGCAGCAGAGAGAGAGGCAGTGCCACTTTGTCGCTGTTCCTAACGCCTAGTGACAAAGCTAGCTACATTTCTGAGGACCCTTAGCTACTTTCTTTAGAACTTTCTTCTAGATATTTCCTGCAAATTAGCAACAAAATAGCCATTTTCACTCCGAACCGTTCTTTGGTTTGACGTTGTTTCAGCTGTTATCAAGGATATAAATGTTACAGAAACTTTGAATGTTACTGGTGTGTAGCTCACCTTGTAAGATGGTTGACTCCCATGCAGAAGACCCGGGTTTGATTCTGGGTGTGAAAATAGTTTTAGAGTTTCTTTTTTACATTACTGGTATATTTTTTTACAGTAAGACGCCCAATTTTTTATTTGAGACTCGCCGAACAGCATTGAATTCATGGATAAAAAAGATGTGGGTTCAACTTTCATTTTGGAACAATTTTTCAAGCAAGGGAAGGGAATGATCTGAGCATGCAGGAGGACTGACCCATCATAAACCTTTGTCGGCTGTGCTGAAGAGAAAGGTACAGAACCAAATTATTTAATTAATTAGCTGCGCGTTCTCCTGTCCTCTGTGCCACACACACACCCACGGAACTGTCTCAGCTGTTATTTTCGTTAAGGAGTGTGCATGTACAGCATGCGCGCCTCGTGCACGAGCCTACTATTGAAGCTGCCGTTACGCTTTTGGCCTGAGGGGGCAATCACGAGCATAAAAATTCAAATCCGAAAAGTCCCTTTAATAAACTACATCACAGAACGTGAGTGGGGAGAAATATTCACACAGAAAAATAAAGTTTTTATTGCAAAAACCTCTGAACTGTGCACAAGCAAATGTCCAACTCATGTCCTGCTACAAGCTTGTCCCAAACATCAAACCAGCCTTGAGAGACAGCATGACCACAGGATATAAGATAAATGAAGGGAAAGCGGTTTTGCATACAGGCTCCCTGTGAGTAAAGGCACGACCACTGAGAAGCATTTTCTAACCAAGTTCAGCCTGACTAGTGTCATTCTCATGTGGAGTGAGGTGAACTTTGAAATCTAGCTTTGTGGAGCTAAATTAAGACCAGGGCAGGAGTAAACAAACAACTAATAACTTCATTATTAAGAAGCAGCCGTTTTACTCCGTGGATTGAATTCAGTCGTTACAGCACAAAAAGTTACACACCTGAGGGGGAAAGTGGCAGCAGAGTACAAGTATTATTACACATTTAATATTTAACATACAACGTCTGGAGATAGTAAGGCTTCAGCGTGTTGTATGAGACTCGCATATGTGCAACATCTAAACGGGCTGCATGCATAGCAGAAACAATAGTGACAATGCAAAGACTTTAGGAGGTAAAACGTCCAAATAACCCACTTGTAGTGGTGATTGTCAACACAAAAAGGCCCATGGCATAGATACAAAAACATTAAACAGCAGTAATCGTCTAGAAACAAACATGATCCCTTGTTTTTAACATACAAATATGATACAGTCATAAACAACAACAATAATAATATAATGTGGAATGTTTTCCCTCAAAAACCATCAAGACTATCACAAAGGAAACAAGAGACAGGGCTGAACTTTGGAGGCACTTCAAGAAGAAAAGTACAGCAGGAGTAAATATTAGTGCAAAGGTGCTTTTAAGGCAAAGGAATGACTCAGCATGTGACTGATAATAAAATAAGAGTAGAAAAGGCAAAGAGGAGTACAGTGCTGTCATTTCAACCTAAACCAGGCTCCATGAGAGGCAGTGCAGGCAGAGTGTGTGTCTGCAGAAGGTGCGGAGGCTTCTGGTTCCAGTGCATGTGTGTCTTTGGTGTCTGGGGCAGATCAGAAATAGAAACAGAAGGATTAGATTAAAAGGAGGAATTTCTTTATCTGGGTTTACTTTCAGTTAAACTGCAGTGAGATTTTGGCTCCTGCCGGTATCCTCTAAACAAATACACCACTAAGGCACTCATCCAGTCTTTCTTTCTAATTTAGGATGTTTCAACATACAAAAGTTCTGGATCAACACTTCTTCTCTGCGTAGAAGAAACACGAGGCATGGCGATCAGACATTACCGCAGAGGAGTGACTGTTCCTGAGTCAGTGGAGATCTGTGTGTTTGAGGGGTTTTATGGATCAGCACTTGTAAGAGGCACTAGCTGTGGGGTGTTCAGTCCAGCAGGTGACTTCTCCTCGGATGTCCCCAGCTCACCTTTCCTGTCTACAGCCAGCTCTGACGCAGCCTGACGCTCACACAGACTCCCCAGCAGCTGCGCCGTTTTGAAGACGGATGCCTGACCGGCCGGCTGTAGGGACTGGACCTTGTGCAGGTTCTGGAGAGTCCGCAGCATCTCAGCAGACACGATGGGCAGATGCTTCTCCTGGATCAAACTGGTGCTGGGAGGTTGCAGGACGGTGTCTCTCTGAACAGGCCTGGGAGTGGCCCTGGTCCGCTGTGCAGGTGTGACGCGGTTAGAGAGAAATTTCTTTTGCGGTGGCTGGGAATCCTCCTCCTCCTCCTCCTCCTCTTCCTCCTCAGACTGGCCACTAGATACGGTACTATCAGAATCTTCACTGGCACCTTCATCATTCTCACTGTTTTCACGACTGTCCTCTTCTTCCTCTTTGATCCCATCTCTGTCTGTGATATAAATCATGTCTTTGGGAAGAGAAGTAAACTGGTAAACAAGGCGCTGGCCTTCTACCTTGTTCAGGATGCCCCTCTGATAGTAGTACCTGAATACACACAAGTACAACTTTAGATTAGCTCAGATTTTAAGATAGAAAAACAGAAAATGATCAGAACCCTAATTATATTAAAGCTGATGAGCGTGTCCACTGGTTAGAAGCATCTTTAAATCTTCATGGAGCTGAAGGTTAACCTCATCTCTAAGCCTGCTCAGTGGTTCATGAGACGTTTGACTAATAAACACTAAATACATACAACTTTATACAGCAAATGATCAACAGCTGTGCTATTTCTCTTGGTGATGAGGGGCTCAGCATCCAGATCTGTTTCTGCCATCTACCCCGAGCTTTAGGAAGCCATACCTGAGAGCTCTCCCCATTGTCTCATAATTCATATCTGGTTTGTTCTTGTGTTTGCCCCAGAGCCTCGCCACTGCCTTTGAGTTAACCAGCTTGAAGATCCCAGCCTGTGGATCGGTCCACTTGATGAAACGGGGACAGACTTGTCTGTCCTGAAGCAACTCCATCAGGAACTGCCACAGGTAAAGGGTGTTTCCTCCTGAGGAAGAAACACACGATGCACGGCGGTGAGGGACGAGGCAAAGAGAACTCTTCTGTGTTTAATATATTTGTGAGGACCTTGTTGATGCGATTAACAGGGGTCCAGTTACCGTTCCAGAACCCAACTCACCATCCAGTTGGTGTCCAACTCGTTGATGACGTCATACACCTGAAGCAGCTTGGTTTGCTGGAGTTTTTGACAATTAAAATTGCGCCCACATTTTCTAAGTTAAACACATCTCTTCTAACAACGGTAGTTTCTGCTTACTGCTCCGCTTCAGCCATCTTCCCCCTCCCCCTGCGCAGCGGCCGCAAACTCACTGATGCGCCTGCAGCCTCTCGGAGTTCCTGCTGCTCTAAACGTTAAAATAATTATTTCATTTTCTGTTCCTCACTTCTGATTACCTTCAATGGTGTCTGTTTGTTGCAACCACCAGGTACAAAAACTAACTTGTTTTTATTTGAGTATTTTTCTGTCCTGCCTGTTTATTATCTTCCTGCATTTCCTCTCAATCCTAAAGAAAAACTGCTACCTGGGTTCATTTATATTCACCTTATGAGTTACCTTTGAACTGCAGTTCTAAAAGATCTACCGACCGCAAAAACAGCGGAGTGCGCACTGGCCGCACCGGTGAGATGAAATCACCGGAGGACAAAACAGGTGATGTGCTCCGCTCCGCAGCAGCGAAAAGCATCAGGCACAAATTAAAGACAGAAAACATAAAAGGAAATGAGCCGACATGAACGATCGCGTGTTAAATTTGTTTTTGAGGTGGCGACCCCTAATGTGATAACGTTACTGTGGCCGTGCTCAGGACGCAGATGTCTGGAGCGCGTCAACGATCAGAGTTCTGCATACACAAGCTGGTTAAGGTTAGGATGGGGGTGAGGGGAAGGTTAAATTGTAATAGGGTAAAGGTCACAATTTGGTCAAATGTCCGTTTTACGGTGGGTGTCAGTACCAACGCTCTGGCACAGCGCGTCGCCTCCCAACACGCAGGGGCTCACCACCTGCTGTGTTTTCTGAGGACTGCATCTTGTCAGTCATTATCACGTGACAGCGACTAGTCTATGAAAGGCATCAAAAGTCACTACAGAGCAGTGAAGTCGACTAGTCGGCACAACCCCTAATGTGTGTACTAGGCCAGGCTAATAACAGTATGACGAGTAAGAGCCGTGTTGTAGTGAAGTCACCATCTCTTAGTGTTTGAGTCAAGTCAAAGTCACACAGGTCCTGCAGTCTCAAAAATAATCTTCAAGTTCAAGGTCCCACTTTAACCGTAACTTGTTAAGTTTGAACCCAGAAACTTAACTGACATTGATGTTTAACGTCAGTATGGGTGTGTAGCTGATGCTAATGATAGCACATTGTATCAAGTCAGATTACGGGACAAACTTGATAACCAAAACTTCCCAAAGCCTTTCCAAGTGTACAGGTGACATTAATGTTTTCAATTTTATTTTAAGCATTTTTTTTTTTGCCACTTGTGTTAGCTTGGGGGTGTTGAGCTGTCCCAGTCATGTCCTCTTGTATGTTTTACACGTGGAATCATCGTCTGTTCTTTTGGCTCAAAACCAAAATAAATAATTTGTTCTATTTTATTTATGTATTCTATTGATATCTATTTTAGTAATGTATAAAAAATACTAAATTAAAAAACACAGGCCGAATAATATTCCATGGGACAGGCATGCATCAAGGACAGGTGTGCATCGGGGACAGGTGTGCATCAAGGACAGGTGTGCATCATGGACAAGTGTGCATCGGGGACAGGATTGCTTCGGGGACAGACGTGCATCAAGGACAGGTGTGCATCGGGGACAGGTGTGCTTCGGGGACAGGTGTGCATAAAGGAAAGGTGTGAATCGGGGACAGGTGTGCATCAAGAACAGGTGTGCATCAAGGACAGGCGTGCATCAAGGACAGGTGTGCATCGGGGACAGGTGTGCATCAAGGACAGGTGTGCATCAAGGACAGGTGTGCATCATGGACAGGTGTGCATCGGGGACAGGTGTGCATCGGGGACAGGCGTGCATCGGGGACAGGTGTGCATCGGGGACAGGTGTGCATCGGGGACAGGTGTGCATCAAGGACAGGCGTGCATCAAGGACAGGTGTGCATCAAGGACAGGTGTGCATCATGGACAAGTGTGCATCGGGGACAGGATTGCTTCAGGGACAGGCGTGCATCAAGGACAGGTGTGCATCGGGGACAGGTGTGCTTTGAGGACAGGTGTGTATCGGGGACAGGTGTGCATCAAGGACAGGCGTGCATCGGGGACAGGCGTGCATCGGGGACAGGCGTGCATCGGGGACAGGCGTGCATCGGGGACAGGCGTGCATCGGGGACAGGCGTGCATCGGGGACAGGCGTGCATCGGGGACAGGCGTGCATCGGGGACAGGAGTGTTTCGGGGACAGGCGTGCATCGGGGACAGGTGTGCATCAAGGACAGGTGTGCATCAAGGACAGGTGTCCATCGGGGACAGGCATGCATCGGGGACAGGTCTGCATCGGGGACACGCATGCATCAAGGACAGGTGTGCATCTGGGACAGGCATGCATCGGGGACAGGTGTGCATCGGGGACAGGAGTGCTTCAAGGACAGGCATGCATCGGGGGCAGGAGTGCTTCGAGGACAGGCATGCATCAAGGACAGGAATGCTTCGGGGACAGGCGTGCTTCGGGGACAGGAGTGCTTTGGGGACAGGCATGCATCAAGGACAGGTGTGCATCGGGGACAGGAGTGCTTTGGGGACAGGCGTGCATTAAGGACAGGATTGCTTCGGGGACAGGCGTGCATCAAGGACAGGTGTGCATCGGGGACAGGTGTGCTTCGGGGACAGGTGTGCATCAAGGACAGGTGTGCATCATGGACAGGTGTGCATCAAGGACAGGTGTGCATCGGGGACAGGTGTGCATTGGGGACAGGTGTGCATCAAGGACAGGTGTCCATCGGGGACAGGCATGCATCGGGGACAGGTGTGCATCGGGGACACGCATGCATCAAGGACAGGTGTGCATCTGGGACAGGAGTGCTTCAAGGACAGGCATGCATCAAGGACAGGAATGCTTCGGGGACAGGTGTGCATCATGGACAGGTGTGCATCGGGGACAGGAGTGCTTCGAGGACAGGCATGCACCAAGGACAGGCATGTATCAAGGACAGGTGTGCATCATGGACAGGTGTGCATCTGGGACAGGTGTGCATCAGGGACAGGAATGCTTCAAGGACAGGCATGCATCAAGGACAGGAATGCTTCGGGGACAGGAGTGCTTCAAGGACAGGCGTGCATCAAGGACAGGTGTGCATCGGGGACAGGTGTGCATCAGGGACAGGTGTGCATCTGGGACAGGTGTGCATCAGGGACAGGAGTGCTTCAAGGACAGGCATGCATCAAGGACAGGTGTGCATCGGGGACAGGTGTGCATCAGGGACAGGTGTGCATCTGGGACAGGTGTGCATCAGGGACAGGAGTGCTTTGGGGACAGGCATGCATCAAGGACAGGTGTGCATCGGGGACAGGAGTGCTTTGGGGACAGGCGTGCATTAAGGACAGGATTGCTTCGGGGACAGGCGTGCATCAAGGACAGGTGTGCATCGGGGACAGGTGTGCTTCGGGGACAGGTGTGCATCAAGGACAGGTGTGCATCATGGACAGGTGTGCATCAAGGACAGGTGTGCATCGGGGACAGGTGTGCATTGGGGACAGGTGTGCATCAAGGACAGGTGTCCATCGGGGACAGGCATGCATCGGGGACAGGTGTGCATCGGGGACACGCATGCATCAAGGACAGGTGTGCATCTGGGACAGGAGTGCTTCAAGGACAGGCATGCATCAAGGACAGGAATGCTTCGGGGACAGGTGTGCATCATGGACAGGTGTGCATCGGGGACAGGAGTGCTTCGAGGACAGGCATGCACCAAGGACAGGCATGTATCAAGGACAGGTGTGCATCATGGACAGGTGTGCATCTGGGACAGGTGTGCATCAGGGACAGGAATGCTTCAAGGACAGGCATGCATCAAGGACAGGAATGCTTCGGGGACAGGAGTGCTTCAAGGACAGGCGTGCATCAAGGACAGGTGTGCATCGGGGACAGGTGTGCATCAGGGACAGGTGTGCATCTGGGACAGGTGTGCATCAGGGACAGGAGTGCTTCAAGGACAGGCATGCATCAAGGACAGGTGTGCATCGGGGACAGGTGTGCATCTGGGACAGGTGTGCATCGGGGACAGGTGTGCATCAGGGACAGGCATGCATCAAGGACAGGAATGCTTCGGGGACAGGTGTGCATCAAGGACAGGTGTGCATCGGGGACAGGTGTGCATCGGGGACAGGAGTGCTTCAAGGACAGGCGTGCATCAAGGACAGGTGTGCATCGGGGACAGGTGTGCATCAGGAATGCGCACCAGGCAGGAACAGCAGATCCAGTCAACTGTGACCTCATTACAGCTAACTATACCTAGAGTGTGCTTTTAATTCTTTACCCGTACGTTTGTGGGTGAGACAGAAAATAACAGGTTCATTGTTCCGTGCTCTCACAAGAGAATATTTCAAAAGTCGAGACAGTTTCCCTAATAAGAGGATCGCTGCCTCTGCTTAAACTTCATTCATATGAACTAACGCTTAACAAACCACCTTCTCAACAAGCAACTGGATCTGTGTGTGTCCCTGCAAACGTCCTATAAAACCAGACTAGACTGGATTACTCGCGTCAGCAGGAGACAAAATTACACTTTTCTGCCTTAACTGGTGGCACCTATAGGACATTTTTATTTTTCTATCCAAATAAAACCAAATACAAAAAAGAAAATCACGTTCATTTTTGTATTTTTGATTGATAGAATTTGATGCTTAATATCGGGGATTGCTTTCCTTGCTTTCCTGAATATTTTACATCTGCATACAGATGTCCTTCTCATTCAGTCCCACGGACTCCCCTCTCCTCTCGCTCCTGTTAATATGGAGAGAGCGCTGATGACTGATCCAGCTGTTGATCAGTGTGCACGTGTCGTCATTCCCACGGCTTCGCCTGCTCCTTTCTGTCCCAGGGCCATGCTCTGCCTCACAACTCTGAGTCCAAGTAATCAGCATGCTCCTCGAGTCAAGTCACAAGTCTCTTAAACACGACTCTCACTGCTAAAGATTTGGTTTATGCTTGACGCGTCCGCGAGGTTCACACGGCGAGATTGCATCATTTTAACAAACACGCCCCTCCACCGCGCCTCCGCATGGCCCAAGCTTTCTGCACCGCACACCTAGGAAAATTTCTAACCACGTGGACGGTCGGACGCGGAAAAACATGGCGGACTGGCAAGAACTAGTATGGCAGAGGTTCGTAAATACAGACATTTGTATGATTCAGCTCTCAGAGATCACCGTGATCAACATGTTGTTAATAATTCTTGGAGAGAAATCGCTCGCACTGTCGGAAAAGACGAGGACGCTGTTAGAAACGCTGGAATGCCATGTTGTAAACAGTAATTTCTACTTCTACTATGGTGTAGTGTTGGATGCATGCTGTAGAGCTCCATGCTGCCCCCTACAGTTTGGGAGAATATTGGCTCACCGCAGAGACGAGCCGCATGAACCATAAACGCTGCGAGTTGTGAAGCGCGTTCCATCCGCGAGCCGCATCACCAAGCGGAAAGCGAATGCGGCAAGCATAAACCAAGCTTTAGGCTCAAAAGACTCACGCTGTTGTTCAAGTTGAAAACAACTGATGTAACAAATAAACTTTTCATTCAAAAAACCCAACAGCAACACCACGGTGTGCCAAATGGTAAATGGCCTGTATCTGTCTCAGGGTTCTACAACCCCCCCAAGGCGCTTCACAACACAATCAGTCATTCACACGCTGGTAAAGATGAGCTACGATGTAGCCGCAGCTGCCCTGAGGTACACTGGTGCCACCGGTCCCTCCGACCATCACCAGCAGGCAAGGCGGGTTAAGTGTCTTGCTCAAGGGCACAACAGGAGCATTCTTTGGTGGGAGCCGGGATTGAACCTGCAACCTTCTGATGACTGAACATCCCGCTCCACTTTACCAAGCTACTGCTGTCCCACTCATTCATGGCTTTAAGAGTTCATACATGTTATGTGCACCTACGGCTACCTAATATTTTAGTAATGAAGCACTTTATTTACCAATCATGTACTTGGATGTACATCTACTATTACAGCTGTTCCCAAATCGTTTCTATCCAAAGATGCACTCTTCCCTTTGTGCTCATTACTGATTCACATTTACCGGTATTTACGAAAAGTCCTTCTCAGAACTTTTGTCTTTACTTTTAAAAATTCTCAGTCATCAGATCTCACATGCTGTTGTCCAGGAATGAGACAGGCTCTTTTAATTATACCTTCAAATCTCCGTCTCTCTTAGAGGTCTTTAAAAATCATCTAAAAACTCACCTTTTCATCCAGGCGTTCCCTCCCTAAATGTTTCAAAAAGATGGCTTTGTTCGGGTTCACACCTTCACTTTGTTTTTACTCATGATTTTATTTTCTACTTTATCACTGCTATTGTTTTTTGGATGTTTTTATTGGTTAGAGGTATTTGCCCTGATCTTTATCATGTTGTACAGCACTTTGTGATTTATATCTGTGAAAGGTGCTCTATAAATAAACTTTTACTTACTTACTTACTCTTTGTTAAAGTATTTTATTGTTATATAAAGTCTCTAGTATGCAAAGCTGAGTGACAGAACTACCAGAAACCTTGTGTACAACAGGGTGAAGAGGATTCCAGTATATTTTTGTATAAATAACTCATTTCTGACATGAATTACTGCCTGTGCACTTTTGTTTTATGGTTATGAGTTTAGACAGATATGCAGAGCCGAGAGCTACCCCTTTCATCGGAGTTTTACGTGCTTCTGTCCCGACTCTGCTTCAAGCAGGAGGATTCGGGATGCTGACTCTGCTACTCTAATTATAAAAACTTATTGCGTTTTAAACAAAAATGATACTGCCATTGTTGCTGTGGTGAACTAATTAGGTTTTATTGCTGTGTTTTTGCTTCTCTTACGTTTGACAAAAACATCTGAGCAAAGTCACAAAGCAGCCAATCAACTTAGCTTCAAATATTATTCTTTAATAAAACGACTCAAACCAAAGACGGAACCATCTTAGCCCTAGCTAAACAGATGTAGCTAGTTGCATTGCTCATCACGAGGCGATGTGCTAACGGTGCTCTACACTACAGATGGACTCTGACCTGAACACAGGATGAAGCCAGCCACAGTAAAGGAGTCGATTATTATTGAATGTGCGAGTCATTCACTTCATATAAATCTGATTAGGCAACATTTCAGCTGCTGAGGACAAAAGCAGAAGCAGGAGTCATGAGCTAGACTGTGGTCCTGACTTAAAACAGCTAAAAAACATGAAACCATGCCGCTGGGTACCCGAAACTACGTTTGGCTCAGTTTGAGAATACCTTTGTTGTATTTGTCCTTCTTTACTTTGATGTCTGGTGTTGGAGACTCTGCCTTACGATGCCTAGGTTTTTTATCTGAAAAGACACAAACAAAAGGAAATTGGTTATTTCACCCTCTCCACAAACCAACAGCTCATTTCCAAGGAAGCTGCTCACTTCTCCTTTTGGTCTGCAGCTGTGCCGCAGGCTTCTCCTTGTGCAACGGGTGCCACTGGGACTGGTCAACAGCTCCCACAACCCCCTCGGCCGACACGGTTACCTGGGCAACAGGAGTGGTGATGACGTCGCCCAGTGATGGCAAGAAGGTCTGGGCTGCAGGGGGACATAAACAGATTTAACGAAAGAGAACAGCACGATAGCATCATGTCTAAAAATAGCACGTCACAGTCAGACAGCTCCTGCTTCAGGAAGCTGGAGGGTTCTTCACATATGGTGAGCTTACAGTAGTGCTGCTCCAGGGAGAGGGTGTCAACACAGTCCATGGTCAGAAGTGAGTCAGCAGCAACGAGTGTCTCCATGGTCTCTTCCTCGCCACTCTCACATGGCTCCACTACAAAGGAGAGAGAGGACGGCATTCAGAAACTAGTATACCTTAAACCTTCTCTCACACCTAACAGCGTGTAAAGATACTTTCCTCATCAAAGATGCTCGAGCCGGATGCACGGAAAAAAAGTCCACAGAGGTCTAAAAACCAGACCGCCACGTAACACCTGCTTTGATACTCTGGACCACAACATCGGTCTTGATAGGCTCGTAAACTGGGTGGGACTTTCATGCACAGTTCATAGTTGGTTCCAATGATATCTTGAAGACAGGTTATGTTGTTTCTATTGGTGATCACAAATCAACGCAGATCACCATGACATGTGGGATCCCCAAGGTTCGATTCTTGGACCACTGCTCTTCAATCTCTACATGCTCCTCCTGGGTCAGGTCGTACACAATAACAACATGATCGCCTATCATAGTTATGCTGATGACACCAAGATCTACCCATCTCCATCATCTAGTGACTGTGGTCCTCTGGACTCACTCTGTCACTGTCTGGGGCAGGTTAATGACTGGATGCATTCAAACTTCCTTTAGTTTAACAGAGACAAGACTGAAGTTATTGTCTTTGGAAATAAGAAGGATAGGATGGAGGTTATTGCTCAACTTTGCTCCAGAGGAATAAAGACAAAGACCTAGGTTAGACATCTTGGTGTCACAACTGATTCAGACCGGAGCTTCACTGGTCACATTAAGGCTATCGCTAGATCAGCATTTTGTCATCTTCTTCAAACAGCACGACTCAGAGAGAAACTCATTCGTGCGTTCAACTCCTGCAGGGAGATGAACGTGTTACATTTTCATACAACTAAATAAACCCTTATATTCTTGAGTGGGATGGCCTTCTTTGTCCACCAGGAGGACATTGGTACACCTTCATTTATAAAGCCACGCTTGGATTACTACCTAACCACATCTATAACTTAATCTCATGGAGAAGTGTAACTTCTCACAGACTGTGTGCAAACACTCAACTGTTACTTTGTGTTCCATTTGCTCGTACCGAACTGACTTTCATTCACTCTGCTCCTTCTGCATGGAACAGGCTGCAGGAAAACTGGAAACTAACCGAGTTTATCTATTTGAATACATTTATAACCAGACTGAGAGACATTGAGACGGATTCCCTGTGTTATAACCGTCGTCTGTAATTTCGTACATAACATCTCTGTGTAACAGAAAATGTTTGTAACTGTAACATTTGCTGCCTCTTGGCCAGGAAAATGACGTTTATAAAGAATATATAAATTCAAAATCTGTTGTGAGGAAAATCTTAAGAATCTGTATAAATAATTTACTAAGAAATTTGAGATATTTACATTTTTTGGAAAATATGGATGTTTGAGAAAAATCTGCACTGACTGAATTTGGCTGATTAGAGCAGTCTAACATAGTACATCAGGTCCTTAAAACCAGAACTTGTGTGTGTGTGTGTGTGTGTGTGTGTGTGTGTGTGTGTGTGTGTGTGTGTGTGTGTGTGTGTGTGTGTGTGTGTGTGTGTGTGTGTGTGTGTGTGTGTGAGAGAGACTACCACAGCAAAATGTTAATTATTCACCACAACTTCCATTAGACTGTAAAAGTTCTTGATGGTGGTCCTAAACGTTCAGACTATCTAAAGTCTTGTTCAGCTGCAAAGAGTGATATTTAACAATCAGCTACATACATTTAGTTAATTTAAGTTTTATAACTTTTCATAAGCTTTGACAACATGACTAAAATGGGATCTATTGTTTTGCGCGCATAAATTCATGGGAGGTGATGCGGCTGAGATGAAGCAGCTAAAACATGGGCGAGCTAACGGCTACTTGTCGTCAAAAACACCTTATACTGCTAAAGGAAAACCTTATCATCAAAGACCATCAAACTCACTTTTAACGAAGAGAAACTAACGTTTCTGACCGCATCGCCACTTTAAGGTGACTTTTCCGTAGATGTGTACAACAGCTGCTTTTGATGTTAGCTACCGAGCCCTAACTTTTGCTGCTCTAAACCCGGAGGAGACATCATGTCTTACTTCTTTACCTTCCAGCTCTGGTCAGGAACACACTACAGCATACGTGCTGCGTCCCCTTCTGTCCGCGTCCACATCCTAATAACATTCATTCACGATCACTAGAGCACGCCAGGAATGTTTTGCTTCACTTCCTGAACTGAGGGAGGTCCATGTGGGAGGAAGGGTTGGCACTGCGCATGCGCAGCACAAAGCTTTCTTTAAAGGTTTCACATTGAGCAAAGCAGACGACAGTTTGACTGAATTAAAGGTTAATCTGACGCGAACAAGAAGCAGCAGACAGCAGCAGCTCGCCTGTAATGAAGTGTGGATGTGACAGGTGAAGAAAGGCTAGTGTGTGCGTGTGTGTGTGCGCGTGCGCGCTCGTGTGCTGACCTTTGAGCAGGTGCTGTTGATCTTCTGTCTCTGGCTCTTCACACAATAAACCTGCAAAGGTGTGCAGGTGTGGATGGGGAACCTGCTCCACGATTACAGCAGGGCAGTCTGAATAACCCCCCATCTTTAACACAAAAAATCATCATAGAATTTATTAGGAGTTTCAAACCCTTAGACACGGAATATGTTTATTCACGTGACTGGCTCACCTGTGATAGGTTGAAATGGTCACTGGCGAAGTCAAAGATGAGCTCTGGCTGCTGCAGCATGGCTTTATGTCCTGAAATGTCTCCAACCTCATGAAAACAGCATCACATCCGTAGATCGGGTCTGACTTGTTGTTGAGTGCAGTCAGATCTTCACGCGGAGAGTTTCTCGACGAACTGATGTACGTGGAGGAGTGATGTGTGTACTAATTCACCGGAGACACGATGGCGTCACAGGAAACTCGTGTTGCTCTGCTTCGATTCTCGATGAGGAAGTGGGGGCTGCTGAACTGTCCTGTGGTCTGACTGAACCTATCAAAGTTGAGGCATCAGGGGAAATATGTGAGCCGTTGGTGGTGAAGTAGACAGTAAGATCACACCTGCAGGCCGAGACAAACGTCTGGTGAGCAGACAGAACCTTTTGGAACGAATCATACAACGAAAAAAGAAAAATGAGCTGCTGCTTGAATCTTCTTTTGCATATCTCACTCTTTTGCTCTTATCAGGTTTCTAAACTGGGCTAAACCAGCAACAGGAAGGAAGTGTGTGTGTGTGTGTGGTTGAAGTGATGGTATGAGTAGAAGGAAGGCAGCTGCTGTTGAACTTGAAACGTCTCATCTTTGCACGATGCTCACAGATTCAGGGCCGTTGCGTGCACATTCCTGACAACACGACCGTGAAAAGGAGTGTTCAGGTCCAAACTCCTCTGGCACTCCCTCTTATTTCTCCTCACACCTTGTTTTTCTGTCCTTCCTCTCTTACCCGCTGGTCAAGACTTACTCATTCTCAAGCCTCTCAGATCTCCTTGTTTACTAAATTCACACAAACCGTTTGCCTTTCTTAGGTTGAGATGTTTATGACTCTGGTTCTGTGCATCATCTTTAACTCTGGAAGCAAATATCCTCAAAATAATTCTAATCTCCCTCACACCTTCCGCATTTGAAACCCATCCGCTGTTGTTGGAAAACCCTTTTTTACGTCTCTTGCCAGCAGAGTGTGTGAGAGATAGAGGCAAACATGATTGGGTCAGTTATCACACAGGAAGCACAGCTCAGTTAGGAGGCACCACTTCCTGAGTTCCTGTGCCAAACTGCTGCCCACATCTCTGCCAGCTGTGGCATTTACTTTTCAACTTCTTCTCATGTTAGTTTGGTTCTCAGTGATTTTAGGCAGACCTGAGATTCAAGAAAAGATTTGAAAGGTGTAAAATCATTTTTGCAGGATTTGATTTTAGAAGAAGCAAAAAGCAACACTCTCTGTTCAGAAAATGAAACACGGATAAATGACTTGCGCTTGTATATCGCCTCTTTATACCGCACTCACACACTGGTGATGACATCTGAGCCATAGCTGCCCTGACATAGGAAAGGCTGTCGTACCCAGATGCCACCAACCACCACCAGCAGGCAAGCAGGGTGAAGTGTCTTGCCCGAGGATGCGACTGACAAGGATGGAGCCTGTACTCCACTCTAAAAAAAACAGGTGGAATCAATCACCTTCAGAAGTCACCTGCTTAGATAATAGCATTCACCTGCATCTCATTTAGTCTCATTATAAATACACCTGTTCTGTGAAGGCCACAGTGGTAAACTATAGGTCATGTTATGTTACAATGTCAGAAACATCAGGCAGAAAGGAGGAAAATGATTCAAATTCTTAGTCGGATGAAAGTGAAACTCGACCTTATTGATTTATTGAGACAGAATTAAAAAAGTGACTGTTTTCAGGTTTTATTTCAGTTTTCGAAGGAGATAAGGGTGTTTGGGAGAATTTGATGTATGTGTGTGTGTGTGTGTGTGTATATATATGTGTGTGTGTGTGTGTGTTTTTGAGCACTATTCCAGACCACACTCCACAGTAGTTGGTGGTGGTAATGCACCATTCGTTGTGTGCCAACCGCCATTTAAACCCCCAGAAGAAGAAGAAGAAGGCCACAGTGGTATTTGGGGACAGCGTGGAGCTCCTACCTGCAGCTGACAGACTCTGTGAGTGGCAGGGTGGGGGTGGGGCTGGTTATCCCTCAACTAGACTATAGCTAAGTTTGTCAGATACGGGACCGCTGTTCTGTTTATACGGCTGAGATAGTTGCAGCTCTGCGTTGGGTAGAGGAGCACGCTCTGTCATTTCCTCTGATTCGATGGCTATGTTGGTTGCACCGTCTGGAACATTCTCCAAGTCCGCCTGTCCTGCTGACTTCCATCAGGTTGCTGCTGCGCAGATTGGGTGCTCTGGGGTGTGAGGTTGTTTGGGTTCCTGTGGGGGTGGAGGGCAAAAAGCTGGGGGTGGCCTATCTGTCATTCTGGAACTATCCTGGTGGGTCGCGTACCCATGACACAAGACCTTCCGCTCACACATTGGGCAGCATAGAGACAAGTCTGCGAGCAGCAGCACCTCCCCCACCCCCACCACCTGCTCTGAGGGGCTGACGGTTCATAAAAATGGCATGGCTGATTTATCGTCCCAGTCCACCCCTGGCAACAACGAATGAGACGCTGTAGCCAAGGGTGCTCTGTGGAGGCGCAATGTGGAGATGGTAGTGGCATTCAAACTGCCAGAGTGTTTCTCTGAGATTGGTCGGGGTTGTGGCATACTTCCTGGAATGAGGGGTTATTAGGGATAGGGTCTGTTATGGACCGCAGCGCTTGGTGGGTGACTGCGGGACAGAGTTCACTTGTGGGAGGAGAGACTCTGGTTAAGGTTGGTTCACAGCAATCTTAGAGGGTGGGGGTTAGGCAACCGGAAACGATGGGTCACGCCTCCAACATGCCTACATCTAAATAGGATAGGTTATCCAGAGTTAACTCTGTAGTTATGCTGCTATAGGCTTAGGCTGCTGGAGGACACACTGACCACTTTTCACACTCTACTGCTTTCTTCTACAATCTGCTCTTTAACTGTACTATTTTGTGCAATTTCAGCTGTTAACTTTATTTTCTCTGTGAGTGTTTTTCTCCCCAGAAGAAGCTACAATGACGTTCTGCTGAGCTGTGGTGGCCTCATGGAGGGGGCCATCGACTAGCACACTGCTGCTAACCACTAATACATTCTCTCTCTCCTGATAATAACTTTTTGTTTTCATTGACTTTTGATGTGCTAATACTAGTTTATCCGTTTAATTATAGATCCACTAGGATAAATACAATAAAGTTTATCTTTCACCAAATACAATATTTACTAAGACATCACAATATAACTATAGACACATTACTTGTGTGTGTGTGTGTGTGTGTGTGTGTGTGTGTGTGTGTGTGTGTGTGTGTGTGTGTGTGTGTGTGTGTGTGTGTGTGTGTGTGTGTGTGTGTGTGTGTGTGTGTGTGTGTGTGTGTGTGTGTGTGTGTGTGTGTGTGTGTGTGTGTGTGTCTGCTCTGTCTTCTCGATCCCCAGTGAGTCGTGGAGGATGGCTGCTTATACTGAGCCAGGATTCTCTGGAGGTTTCTTCCTGTTAAAAGGGAGTTTTCCTCTCCACTGTCGCTGCATGCTTGCTTAGTATGAGGATTGCTGTATAGTCACTGACACTAGTCAGTGACTTGATGCAATTTGCTGGGTTCCTTATATAGGAAACATTATTTCTGATTGGCTTAATGAACTGTGAATTGGAATGTTTATTATGTGAAGTGCCTTGAGACGACTCTTGTCGTGATTTGGCGCCATATAAATAAACTTGAATTGAATTGAATTGAATTGCAGCGCAGGAGGTATGCTGCAGAAAGGAGAGCAGTGCACCGAGTCTTGGGGGTCGCTGGTGTGACGGTGTTCTGTTTGAGGACCTTGCTGGTGGACTGGTGTCAGGCGAGGGCTCCATTGGGCTTCCTGTCACCTACCCGAGTATATCAGAGGCTTTGGTTGTCCGTTGCACTGAAGTTGCTGTGGCAGCAATATGCCTCATCAGAGTCTAGCCGGCCTACGTCAAAGAAGAAGAAGGCCACAGTGGTTTTTAGAGAATATTATTGAACAAACAGTATCATGAAGACCAAGGAACTCACCTGACAGGTCAGGGAGAAAGTTGGAGAACAGGGTTGGGTTATACAAAATAGCTTTGAACATCTCAAGGAGCAATAATCCAAAAATGAAAACGTCTGCTACAACTGCAAACCTACAAAGACATAGCCGTCCAGCTAAATTGACGTAGAGCAAAGAAGCTTTCAAAGGGTCAGTGATCACTCTGGAGCTGCAGAAATCCACAGCCCAGGTGAGAGAATCTGTCCACAAGACAACTGTGAGTAGGACACTCCACAAATCTGGCCAATATAGAAGAGTGACAAGAAAAAAGCCATTGTTGACAGAAAGCCTGTTTGCAGTTTGCCAGCAGCCATGTAGAAGAAGGTGCTCTGGTCAGACCTGACCAAAGTTGAACTTATACTTAAATGCAAAACGCTATGTGTAGTGGAAAAGTAACTCTGCTCATCACCCTGAACACATTATCTCCACTGTGAAACATGGTGGTGGCAGCATCATGTTGTGGGAATGCTTTTCTTCAGCAGGGACAGGCAGCTGGTCAGAGTTGATGGAAAGATAAATGGAGCTAAAAACAGGACAATCCTGGAAGAAATCCTTTATTGGCTGCAAAAGACTTGAGACTGGGAAAGAGACCCACCTTCCAGCGAGACAATTACCCCAAACATACAGCAAGAGCTACAATGGAACAGTTTAGATCTAAGGGGTCAATAGGGGGCAAAGGAGTTAAGTGCTAGCCCCTACCTGGAAGGTTGCAGGTTCAGTACTCGCTCACTCTGTCAAAGTCATGTTCGTGGGCAAGACACTTCATGCTACTTGCCTGCTGGTGGCTGAAGGGACCGGTAGTGCCTGCGTCTGGCCTCACCTCACTGTCAGTGTGCCACCAGGGCAGCTGTAGCTACAATGTAGGCCATCACTGTCAGTGCGTGTGAATGGGTGAATGACTTGTGTGGTTGTATTTACCGTTTTTACCAAAGAGCATTCATGTGTTAGAACGGCCCAGTCAAAGTCCAGACCTAAACCCCATTGAGCGTCTATGGTGAGACTGGAAAACGGCTGATTTTTACATGCTCTCTATCCAGTCTGGGTGAGCTTGAGCTATTTTGCAGGAAATAATGGGCAACATTTTCTGTCTGTGTGTGCAAAGGTGGCAGAGACATTCCAGAAAAGACCTGCTACTGCATTTGCAGTGGCTCTACAAAGAATGGATTCAGGAGGGCTGACCCCATGTGACTCTCAGTTAGTAGACGCCATTTTGGCAGGTAAAAAGCTAAACAAACACGGAAGTAAACATGAACGTGAATGGGATCAGCTTGGATTTTACTTCATCGGAGTTTACTTCACACTTTAAAACCGAAGAAATCGTTTTATATAGTCAGAAATTAAATAGACTAAACATCTTTGACCCTTACCGTGCCCCTGGGATACTTTTTAAAAACGCCAGAAGCTGTCGGAGCGGACTTCTTACCGGACCTGGCCGGGGAACCCCTTGGGATTTACCCAGAGGAGGTGGCTCCGGCGGCTGGGGAGAGGGAAGTCTGGGCCTCTCAACGCTACTGGCCCCGCAACCCGACTCTGGATACGCGGATGAAAATGGATGGACAAATAACAGATTTACACGTAAGTAGTTTAAATAGAGTGCTGTGCTGTTTGAATGTATAAACTGAACGCCAAGAGAAATCACTAGTTTGATTTTTTTTCCCGTGAATAAAATAAAAATGTCAGGCAGGAGCGTCTCAGGATCTGTCTGAGATCTGTCTCGGTGAGACAGATAATAGCAATCCAAAGTGCTTTTTATGTGTGATCTGACAATTGATCAACCATTGCTTAAAAATTAAATACAGCTTAGCCGGTTAATTGCTGTGATCATAAAACACGTAAACGGCAGCACGCAGAACTCACGAGGCGACGTTTTACGTGATGTTTACTTGCTGCTATGAGTAATAAGACAGAAAAAGCCACGCCAAAATAAGTTTAGGAAGCCCACTAAGAATCGTAAGAAAAGCATTTAAAATAAATACCATACACAGTTGAGGAAACGTTGGTTTAAGTACCTGATATGAAGCGGTCGCTGCATAAGTGAAAACCTTTACTCTCGGGATCCCACAGTTTCATTTTAGCCCGGTCACTAGTGTGTTTTATTACAATGATCCAACGTTTGCGGCGCTCCGGATCTTGGGGAATCCTGTAGACGGCTCATTTCTTATGTCGTCCGCGTCTCTTCTGCATCCTGGGGCACAACAGGAATCTACCATATTTCCTGTCTGATTGAGTTTTCTGACAATAACAAATAGTCCAGCTGCCGGCTTCTACCTGCCAAGATGGCGCCGTTTCGATTTGAACTGTTGCATGCCGGGAGAAGTGACGTCAACTCCCGGAGCTCTATACAAATGCACGCTACACTTTTCTTTTTCACTTAAAATTCAGAAAAACGTCTTTGTTTCATTCCACTTTCCATTTATTCCCCGCTTTGTCTTGGTCTATCACAGACAATCTCAAGATAAAGCATTTTAAGTTTGTGGTTGTAAAGGTTCAAAGGGTATGACTACTTACATGTCACGTAGGTAAAAAAAAAACAAAAAACAAAAAAAAAAACAAGAGATCTGACAGCGTATCAATGCATTTGATTATTTAATCATTTTTCCAACCACCCACACGTGTCCTGCGAGTGTGCCTTGCTGTTGGAGGACTCCAGCTATAGAGCCTTTGTTCATCAGCAGTCTGGTCACATAGGGTTGTCTCTGTGGCCCTGGTTCTGGGATCTGAGTCTGTGAAGTGACTGCCAAGTCCCCAAGGGCACTGATAACACACAACATTCACTCGCCTGTGCGTGCGTGCGTGCGTGCGTGCGTGCGTGTGGGTGTGTGTGTGTGTGTGTGTGTGTGTGTGGGTGTGTGTGTGTGTGTGTGTGTGTGTGTGTGTGTGTGAGCTAGGCCAGGCTGATAACAGTATGGCAAGTAAGGGAGCAGCTGATAAGCCCCTCTTGTTGCTTGGGGTAACCAGGCTTTGTTAAACGAACCCAGAGAAATGTGGTGTGTGTGTGTGTGTGTGTGTGTGTGTGTGTGTTTTCTGTAACTAAGAATAACTTCTTAAAAGTCTTTTTTTCAAACCAACCTCCTTCCGTCATTCTGTTTAAGCTCCACTTACAGACTCTGAAAACTACTTTCACTTTCTCTTCCACACGTGTCACCCAGCCAACAGCCACTCATTCTTTACCTTTAGTCTTTCTGTTGTTTGCTTTTTCAGATCAAACCAGCATGGAGCTGGCAAATGGAATAAACGTGTGCTTACCTTACGCTTGTACCAGGTTTCTGTGAGTGACAGAGCAGCAGCTGCCTGCAGATCCAACAGAGGAACTGAAATTGTTCTCATTTCATTTGTCAGACCCAGAGTCTTTATCTGCTCTCAGACCTGGGACCAGTTTCCTTTTGTCACCAGAAAGGGAGTGACGCCCTGACTTAAGATCAGTAATCAGTTTACAGCCTGTTGAGTTTTTTTTCTTCTCTGTGATCCTCTTGTCAGTTCTTGTTTTTAATTCTAGAGAACTGGTTGGCCCTCCACCCCCATCCTCACCTGCTACTGTGAGATCTGATTGGTTACCTGTGTTGTTAGTCAAGGTAACCCATAGTGACCATTGTCAGAGTGGAACAAATGTAAACACAGGTTTATTTGCAATGTAAAGCAGCAGGGAGCATGGCAAGCAACAGATGTGTGGTTGATATGATGGTGGGCTCATAAAAGTGTGAGATGAGTTATTACACACATTCACACAAGGACTGTAGACACAACAGTGACTCTTCTCATGAAGTTAAAGTTAATATAAAAGGTTGTAGGATTAAAAATTCAGTAAGAAGTTTAATAAACAACCCCTGAGTCAGGAGAGGTTTTAGTTTCTGCTGCTCCTGACGCTCTCTAGTGGCAAAACTCTGCAAATAGTCCTTTATTGATCCATCAGTAGATTTAGTTTCTTCTTTTCTCAGCAACAGCTCGTGGATTACCCACCTTAATGTCTCGTTCAGAAACTTTTAAAACGTTTCCTGGATGTTTTCTCTGAAAATCAGGGGAGTTCTTAAGTTAACAGCCCCCTCTTCAGAAAGTATGACTCAGATAAAAATCTACAAATATTTTGCTGCCTCCGCCTCACAAGAAGATCTCCTTTATTTCTCTTGAATTTTATTTATT